TTACTTCCTAACATAATAGCCGTTCCTTTACTCCTTGGCGTTCCGTGCGACATTAAAAGTTCATTCCTAGTTCTCAGAGACCATTCCTTTTCTGTTTCTTTGGTACTGTGTGTTTCTTGCAAAAATGAGATACCGTACTCACTATTGTGTTTTGTAAGCCAATTGAAAATTTTTCTATTCTTTTTATATTCCCTGAGGCCACGGACATTAATTGACAGTATGGAAAAATTATAAACATTCATTTTAAGTTACACGAAAAAAGTAATAAAACAGGAATATTAATGACACGGAGCTATGCAACATCAAGATCTCGCTAAACAATTGACAAATAACAAACAAAGATACTACATAAAGATTAATTTGTGCTTGCACATGAATGGGCTTTTGCATTTGTTTATCTTAGCCGTATTTTATAAGGCTCTAAGAGAAATACTCAAAATCTTTCCTTTAAAATAAAACTTAATTCAGAAACAACATCCCTAAAAGTGGTGATATAAATTCTATTTACTGAATCATCCTAAATTTAAAGTCCTTAACTTAAGAGTATAAACAGCAACATAACATACTATTGATATTTGGATTCCGAGTAAAGTTCATTATACCTTATGGTGCGTTGAAGCTAAATAGATTCGTTTGTCCTGGAAGATACAACTGCCCATCGATATATAATCTATCAGGCTCTGCTTTGCTAAATCGGGCCTTCATACCACGTCTTTTGGCTTCTTTAAGAGCCCCCATTAACTTTTTACGCTCGTCCAAAATTTCTTTGAGAAGGTCTTGGTAAATAACGAAGGGGGTATTTTTTAGTAGCTTCACCTGTCAAAGAATCTTTTCAACGTCTTGGTACCGTAGAAACCTTGCAATAATTGTTCTTGGCGCATCTTGTTTTTTTCTACCATTTCTGTGTACTCACTGGAATTCTATAGGGCTACTTTCAATCTCCAGATGATTGTCGATAAAGTTGAGTAAAACCTTTTTGGTGTCTTCGTCATCTAGTTCTGGAATGCCAATAAATTTAAGATTTTCTCGTCTTGAATATGCTTCTGCGTACAATAATTTCGTTTTAAGAGTGTTCAGCTCAGACTTTGTTTCTTCCTGGATTCCATAATATTCAAAATCGTCTCTTTTCCTGTCGTTTTTGAGCTGCTGAATTTCGTTGTTCATCGTTTCAAGACTTTTGTCCATAACCTGCTGCTCCTGTTTTACTTCTTTGACATTCTGTTCAACTTTCTCTATTTTTTGCTCGAGAGCTTTAATTGATCCAGCAACGTTGTGTATAGTTTCTTCTATTGACTTCAGTCTGTCTAACTTTGATGTTATATCGTCCAACTTAGCAGCAACATGGCCGGCCATATCGAGGGCTTGGAATACCTCGTCGTCAGAGCACTCTTAGCTTTCTTTTCAAGCAGAGAGGTTATTGAGATGCTAGAGGAGCTTYAGTTGGTTTTCTTCTTTCGTTTGGAGTGATTCTTGGATGATTTTATTTAAAAAATGTTAGGGTTATATGAGTTTTCTCTCGGAGCTCAAATTCGASCGTCTTACTCGGTAGCCATTCGAGCCCAGTTCYTTCGGTTGTTTTAATTTTTGATAGAACTGCTGAGCTGCATGGGAAAGGCGAGATTAGTCTTAAAACACGCTTGGAAATATCTTCGTGTAGATTCACAGTTTGCTGGTGTTTAATTGTCATAGCCGCAATCAAACTATTTTGTTAACTTTTGTGTGAATTTGATTCCGTAATTTAAGTTCGAAGCGCTCCACTCGAAACACTCTAAAGTCTCGAGTAAAGAGTGAAAGCTAGTGGCATTGTTTTCGCTGCCTCATTAACTGTCATTGTTTCACTCTATACTCGAAACTCGCGGACCGTTTCGAGTTCGAGTACTCGAAAGCGGATGGTACTTTACTCGAGACCGGTACTGTATAATGATCCGAAATTGTATAGAAATTCATAGTTTCGTACTTAGGGACAAGGAAAAGAAGTTCACGTTTTTCGCGGATGATTCAACTTTCTTTTTAAGAGATAATAACTCATTCAAGCGATGTTACGATGTTTCGAGACCTTTTATTCTTTTTCGTCATTAAAACTGAACTACCAAAAATCAGAAGCAGGCTGGCTTCAAAAAGAAAATGACACTTTTGTGAAAGAAACAGGATTTAAATGTATTGATTTTAGTGAGGATGGTATAAAAATTCTAGGGATTTTTTTTCGTACAATAAGAAATTGCACTATAAAAATAATCTTCAACATATAGCAACTAATTTCATGACTACATTAAATATTTGGAAATCAAGATCTTTGACAGCAATAGGAAAAATACAAGTACTTAAGMCCTTAGCACTGCCAAAACTCTATTTTGTTTACTCGCAAATTTATGTCCCATTAGACTTTGAAAATATCATTGAAAGTAAAATCAAGGATTTCATATGGAATGCTAAGAAACCTAAGATTAAACATGAGACCTTAATCGGAGACTCAGGGATGTCAATAGAAGCCGACAATCGGCGAATTCCGCCGTCTATTWTCGTTTTCTGAGCCGCCTACTTTTGCCATTATCATGTTTAAATTGTACCTCTTAATGTASAATCTATATATTTTACCAAAACGTGTTGAAAAAGTCAACATTTTCCCTCAATTTTGATTGTTATGCATCGCAAATTGCAACGCAATAAAATCTTTGCATTGTTGTCCGCCATCTTGGAAAATGAATGAAGAGTGAGACTGTTGACGAATGTACCTCGACTTCATGCAAAATGCAAAAGTCTTCCATATCATGTGCTCTCATTAATATGGCGYAAAAAAGGAAGTCTGGCAGTATTTTGTCATATTTCAACAAAAGAGTTCGACCAGAAGAAGATCCAGGTAATTTTACTAAATAAGAACAATATTTTCAGTAAGAACGTGAGTAATTTGGAAAGAAAACCTATAAATTCATTTTGTTTTGAAAATTCTCCAGTTTTCTAACTTACTGGGATCATAGTAATCGAAAACATATCAAAGAATTGCCTTAAAAAAGTTGTCATTCGTCTAGCAGCCATATATGGTAATCTTACCTTATCTC